GTTACTAATGGACTCAGAACTTCCAACGTGAAGACCAAGAGAGCTCGGAATTCGTGATGCTCTGGAGTTGGCACATGGGATGGCGGTCCTGTGGTAGGAGGGGGAGGAGGAGGAGCGCGGCTGATGGCCGTAATTGGAGCACGAGGGAGGCCTAGTAGAACCATACTGTAGAGGCGAATAGCACGAGCTAGTGCATTAGGTAGCGCCTCGATTTGAGCCAACCAGCCACTACCAGCATAGGAGTGTACCAACTCAGAAGGGTCAATGCCCATGTCGAGGTCATCAGGACTGTCATCCATTACCATCATCCCCCCGAGTTGTACCGAGAGACGATCTTTCGCCTCTTGTAACAGGAGTTGATGAATAGCCTTGGGAGCAATGACAGTGACCAGTTCAAAGACACCTGCTTTAGCAGCCCGCCGAAGTCCTTTCCGGAAGCACTCAAGCCAGGCAGCGGCGACCTCAGGCTCTACCGAAGTGACGAGCGCCTCGAACGCCTTCATCCCAGCAGTAGGAGTGACACAATAGCGCTGCGATGTAGAACCAGATATAGAGGAAGGCTTGTAAGCAGAAACTCCTTTGCTCTTGTGCTTGGCCAAGACAGCGAGTGCAGAAGCAATACCATCAGCGAGCGTCATATAGAAGAGTACCAGACTCTCCGCATCGATGCTCTGCTCGTCGAACACAATGCTCTGGTATGAATGGTGACCGGCACTTGGACTCCCACGAGGCACATCTCCTCTTCTGCATCGCTCTAGCACAGCTTCAGGCGACAGAGGACAAGGCATACGTGGTATGATGATCCGCAAGAATGAAGCTAGCTCGGTAGCTATTGACCTCTCAGTGGTAATGAGAGCCATGCTGAGGCACTGGTGGCAGAAGTCGACAAGCTTTGAAGAATCCTTTGCGGCACCAGGGGACATCACGCTGACAAGCCGGATGGAGGTGATGAGTAGCCTATTGTAGCGATTGAGCTCCTCGCGGTAACTCAATCCAGCAGCATTGGTCGATCCACCATCAGCTGGACCCCCGTTAGTTGTAGTGTTGAATGTCTTCATGACGAGGGTCTGTGCGGCTAGCCTCGACATGGGCGTATCCAGAGTCACGCCTCCCACCTTGAAGGGGCTACCATTGATCTCTGCGAATCTCTGGACGCACGTGTTGGTGATTTGACTCGTAGATGCCCCCAAATGCGTGGCCGTACCAAGTAGATGAGGAGCTGATGTCATTGGTGGCATTGCTGGATTACCACCAGGTTGAGTGGGGTTCTCACAGACCGCTCCTAGAGGACAGTCCGGATAGGCACTGACCATACCAGTCTTCCGTTGGGTAGTGACTATGTGATCGGGGGATGCCCTAGCAATACTGTACTCACTGAGAGGATCCTCAAATGCAGAGGTAGAGTTAGCCGTAGAGATCGCCATTTGGAAGTAGAACTCAGCCAGATAGGACAAGGCTGAGTCATCCCCTATGGCCATGTCAGTCTCGATAAGCATGCCCAGGAGGCAGTCAGCGATGTCGACCGAAAAACGACGACAATTTAGACTATGGTCGCTGAGTTTTTTTGGCTCGAACTCCAGCACAGAACCAAACCGCCACATTGCACATAAGCCGGGTTGAAGCAGATCCTGCGCGAACTCTGTGAAGTGCTCCTTGCAGGCCATGACAGCTTTCCAACCAAGTACCGAACTTGCCGATGTATTATCAGCGTCCGAGACCAATTCCAAGACGTCCTTTCGCCAACCAGCTGGCAAATCCTTCGAGTCGGGAGAGTGAGGTTCTTCGCTACTGCTCAGGAATCGAGGTAGTGACCTCAAGAAGCGATCGAGAGGCTGATTGAGCAGTAGAGGTAATTGAGCTTTCAATGTACTCTCTGACGAAGCCGTAGAGTTGAGCAAGTGGTTGCGAATGGCATCGAATACAGTACGACAAGCCACAGCTGACTCTGCCTGCTCACACTGATCGAGCAACTCTATAATAGCAGAGAAGCTCCATTGAGCGGCAGTGACAGCCCTCGAGCTCTGGAGATCGTCGAGGCAGGTCTTAAGCAAAGTAGTTCTCAAAGACTCCACATTGATTGACTGGGATCCCGAAGAGCCAGCAAGGGACAGAAAGGATAGGCCCATTCTGACGGCTGCCATCTTCAAAGATTCCGACCGAGTTTGGTCTCCCTTGAATAACTTGGTCACGAGCTCCTCGACATCGATAGCTTCCAGGACGTCCACAGTGATCAACGATATGATAGAGTTCATAAGCTCGAGTGTGTAGTTGACTCTAGTGTTGCCATCCTCAAAACACCTCAGACATTCTTCCACCAGCTTGACCTTCTCCTCCAACGACCACTCAGTGGGATCACACCAAGCCGAACTCAGCGGACTTGTATCCCAAACCTTGCTCTGTATGCTCAGTAAGCTGCATAGCTGTAGATGTACATCGATCCTCATCGGGTCACCTCTTGGCACTCCCGATGAGCCCAAAAATGATGTATAGCAGGCCACAAGATCCTTGGTCACAGTGGAGTTGACCAGAGTGGAAGTGAAAGGTATGTGAGCTGTTTGCTCTGACCTGGCATCACCAATCCTACCCAGATTCAGCAGGATGCTTATCAAGCTGGAGCCGTCACCGCATTTATAATTAGAGGCCAAAAAGTCATCTTTAGCTGAACTCAAACCAGCTGCCAACTTCACTGCAGAGGTTGCCACACTTAGTTGAAGAGGCGTCAGTGCCTTAGTTGTACTGCAGCCTTGTGGCACACCACTGCTCATCAAAGACGATGCGACCACAGAGGGTACACACAGCGTTAGATTCTCGATCAAAGCCTCCCACCTCAACGGTTTAGCATAAGCCTTCGCAAGCAATGCCTCTATATAGGATATGAGCGCACTGGCACTGCTGCTCAGCGGCTTCTCCCCTGGCGAGTCTTCGGGTACTAGCTGAGGACTCACCGTCCTGGACTGGGATGAGAGTATGATACGTACAATGTACCGTGAAGCAGGACCAGCCCAGTGATTGAACAGATCCAACAGCACCTGGCTGAATGGATCGAATAGTAGAGACTCCTGATTGGTCATATGAGCTAGCCCACTACTGAGGAGGCGTATGACTACAGGAAGGATCTTTGTTATGGTAGATGTGACCTGAACCTCGTCCTTGGGATTCACAACCACCGACAACGCTTGAAGTAGAACAGCACACTCCAACAAATCAGCCCGGCACAACCCGCTCTGACACGCCAACGATGTACCCCCAGCCGCAGCGTTCGCTGTGGCCTCGGTAATAGATGGCCCTCTAAAAAGCCAGGTGCCTCCACCAGGTGCAGCCGAAGCATCCGAGCCTAGAGTCCCTCCAACCGTTCGAGTGATCGAACCGCATATGACATCCAGTCGACCCAACAGAGTCTCACGAGCCCAGGCAGACACCTGAGCGTCCACCTCTTGGCCGTTCATGACCACCGCTACCACACGACAGAACTGCTTCGTGACCATCGCCGGATTTTTCCATCTTTGCTGGAGTTGGACCTTGAGCATATCGACCAGCGACCGGAGGAATGGGTTCAAGACTGATCTCGACAGAAGCGTTGACAGAGAAGTTGACGCAAGCTCCGACACCACACGTAAGGCGTAGAAGGCAGCATCGATGACCGGGGTATTGGGATGCTCTGTAACGAGCAACCTACGTAGCAGCCATACAACCAACCATTCCCTCAGGCAGCATCTGTGGGGTCTGAACTGCGTTTTCGAGGAAGCCTCGGGGACCAGTGGGACAGCGCTCTGTAAAGTGGAATCCAACGAGCACAATCCCGAATGGTTGACAAAATCTTTGAGTCCTGCATTGACGATTAACAGCTTGGAAGCTCGTATGGCGAGGACCATAACATGAGTCCGCTCAAGATCGTCGAATACCGGAGTGGCACGTGCCTTAGTCTCCATAGCGCCTTCCAACTGACCACTAGTCGCAGGGAAGTGAGCATTGTCCAGCTTCCTCAGGACATCCAGAAAACTACTGGGAATCCATTTCATCAGCATCTTCACGAAGGGAGGCTTCTCACACGCTAACACAGCACAGAGGCCCTGCAGGATGGCCTGTTCATCATCTTGCGGCGAATCCGAGAATACCTCAGCGAGGCGGTCACTGCCAGCCAAGACATCGGAGAGATCTCGTCCCACTTTGACAGCATACTTGGCCAGTGCAGCCTCGGCTAGTGGGTCTTCAGAGCACGGTGTTAATAGCGACGATACCATCACTTCGACCAACGCTTCCGACTCCTCCCCAACTCGATCGAGACAGGCGTCAACTATGCTCTCGCCGAGCTCTCGTGCATCCAACCATTCCACAGATCCTCCCATACCACGGACAGCATTAGCGTTCAGATCCAAAGCCGCTTCCATGGCCTTGACAACTACATCATCAGTGATGCCTTCGTTGACTTCCTTCAAAGCTTTCAGCACTATCTTCCCAGCCATGCACTTCTTCGAGCAAGCCATACAGCTCACTATACGATCCAGCGATGTATTTAACACCATGCTCTTGTTAGCGGCATCATGGTCAATGATGGACCATATGCAACCCGAGATAACTTTCGTGATCTTGTCGAACGCGGGATGGCTATCAGCCAGAGCCAGGAGAGCAGATAGTAGCTGCCGCGCTTGCTGAACTCCACGATCGGTGATCGCAGTAATAGCCGCTTGGAGACACACCTCAGCCGATTCACGAGTCTCCTCTGATAGTGAGCATGTGTTGCAGACGACGACGCTCAACACCAAGCCTTCCATACATCGAGTCACTTGTCGGTCGCTCAGCACAACTGTTCCGGCTGGTTTGAAGACATCCAAGTTCACAGCCATGGCCTGGCATAGAAGAACCATCAAAGTTAGTTTGCGTCTAGGAGGCGGGACAGCCTCTTCGAAGATAGTAGTCAGCGGAGTTCCATCACTGCGCATCCACTTCTTAACTTGCACAGAGTAAGTCCGGAGTAGGCCGAGAGCCACTTCATAAGCACCTCCCATCGGGACCGAAATCTCAGATGCTCCATCGCCTCGACCAGTTAGGATAACAAAGTGCTGTTCTAGATCTGGCTCATCTCCATCGACTTCAGCAAGGGGAACTTGGGGACGCATTTCAGACGTAACGGCATCGGCAAGCGAAAGGATATGGGAGCGTGTACCGAGCTTCCCAAAGGCCTTGAATGCTCTGATGGCCATAGCCTGGGAATGATGCTGAGTGTGGACCACCTCACCAGAGGGCGGGACAGTGAGCCTCATAAGCGCCGTAAGGATCGAACTTTGAGACAGACCCCCAATACCACGCCAGGCGCTTGTCGAGAGGTTGGCCTCAGCTATTAGTGCTGGATGAGATATGTCGTGATGAAGCTCCAAGCAGTGGTCCAAGAAGGTCAATGCCTGGACCGTGAGTTCAGGACCATGTGGTGACTTGGTCGAACCCGTAACATCCAGTCGATTATAGTCATGCTCGAGTGCCTTCGTCAATATAGGTATGAGCTTGTTCAATCTCGGCACCAAATACGCGTTGAAATCTACTGGTATTGACAATGCGATCTCCAGCAAGGCCGACCGACTCCACTCAGGTAGAGAGGTCTCCGGAATAGCCGTGAGCTGAGTGACATAGTCGATGATAGGATCAACAAGCTCATGTAATTCTGGTATGTCATAGAGATTCCCTCCCTTAGTGATTGCTCGGAAAGCAGTCTTGACTATCCCAATGACGTTATTGGGTTCGCCAGCCAACGTCGACTGAGCTAGCTGAAGGCACTCAGTAACCACATCTACTATCTGTGGTGCCATGGTCGGCCCACCACTAGCCGAGAAGTGCGCGACACACTTCATAACCCACTTATAAAGTCTCAGCAGAACACTTCCACTGTCGAAAGTGACACAGGCGTTGGGCATACCATCGCAGTTCTCCCTCATACCATAAAACTTCACACATTGGATGTAGGGGTCGTCAGGATCATTACCACCCTGATAGGCCAACTCGCATGGTTGTGAGACAACATCACCACCCAGAAGGCCCCCAAAGGGCTCCTGGGAGGCCACAAACCGGTCCAGCCTCGTCTGTCCAACAGGCCCATCAGGTCTGGCAACCACCGAGCCATCCTGATTGTCGATGGCTCTGTCAACCACTTGATATTTAGGGTTGAACCACCGCCGAGGCACTCCTCTCTTCACAGCCGCCTCCGGCTCCTTGTCATTAGAGGCGAATATGTCTTCGATGCGATGCACTGATAAGGCCACGAGTATCTCAGTAAAAGCAGGGCTTGTATGAGCCTGCGACATAAATTGCTGAGTGAGGACCAATGCAATGTTGTTCACAGAAACCACCCTAAGGAGCCAGCTGAATCGGAAGGCAAACAGGTCGGTGAAGGATGCCTCACTAAGGTGTTGGAAAACACCACCAAATGCATCCAGAAGTGACTGCTCCTCCGCGTTGCTGCTTTGTACCATCATACCAAACATTCCCTCCGCTGTAAAGACCTTCTCATCTCCCATCTTCAGTAGACTATCAGCACCTGGCTTCCTCCTATGCAAACTCATCGATGTTGCCAAGTGCTGCACTGAAGTCGCGACCGCCACCAAATGGCACATTTTCATACCGCCAACCAGGTATCTATCCAACAGGTCGAGACACTCTCTCGACCTCGCTATACTAGGGGAACACTTATTAGCTAGCGACCACTGAATCGGCTTAGACAGACTGATAAGAGCTCTAGCCAACTCACGCAGCTGGCCAACACCTGTGACTATCGTAGTCAAAGGAATCACAGGCAGCGGCCCAGTAGTACTACACCCTACATTCATGGCAACCGCAATCTCTTCTTTCGGAAGAGCACAGGTCGACCAATCACATTGCGGAGCCATCAGCCGTGTCACCTTAGAGATAGCCCATACACTGTTCACTGTATGCCGCGCTCTTTCCGCCCAGCGCTCAAGTATCGGGGGAATCTCAGACCTCCTCGCAACATTCTCCTCATCCACAAGGTAAATGCCTTCCCCAGCCAAGACCATCGCATCGATCAGCTGAGCGATTTCACCAGTGAGTCTCTCAAAGCTGACTGTAACCGTAATAGACAGTTGCATCAATATATCAGTGAAGGGCTTGCCGCGTCGATCAGGCGCCGAGGCAGCGGCTGCTGTGGGGGTTCCTTGCTGTGATCCGTTACTCGACTGCTCAGACTGTTTAGAGTCATTACTGGGCTTGTTAATGAGCTGATCGGCCAGACTAAGCAATAGACTTATCGAAGCAGTCCGGCTAGCGAAGGACCGAGTATCATCCAATAGATAACCACAGAAGAGGTTAACCGCCTTGGCCGTCTGCTGTATAGACAACCTAGACCGCAGGACTAGTAATACATCCGACTGAACTGATAGTATCATAGCTCTCAGGTAATCCCTAGCGGACATGTCACATACGTCCTGAGATACCCCCGTGGTTATCCCCATCAACCCTTTTTCATCGAGTATATCATCCAGATTATCGCTCAGTTCACCCACACAGTTCTGTCCGTGTAGGAGCAGGAACCTCTTGAACAGACCCAGTAGATCCCATTTATAGCTCACGGCGTCGTCCATACCACCACGAGGGCCCTTGTGTTGGGAGAAAAGGAACATGAAGCTTCCGACCAACCTGCCAGGGCAACCAGGAAAGTCACAGTGCATCCAGTTCCAAGAAGGCTTTCGATCACTCCCCTTAACCGCAGCAGCAGCAGCAGCTGATTCATTATTGGCGATTATGAATGTCACTGCTCTGTAGTGTGCAAGGGCGAGAAATTCGACAGCTTTCGCCATACACGCCTGCGTCGCTCCGCTCAAAATTCTCGCCAAATCGACTTTGCCAAAGACGAGAATGTTCGACAAATTCACAGCACACTTCTTCACAGCATGCCATATACTAGCAGACTCATCGCTGAGTCCCTCCACCAGATCAATGATAGTCTCAGTCAACGGAACACACTGCGAGATTAGGTCCAAGGCGTCTAAGACCACCGTTGCTGAGATCTTCTCAGTGTGCGCCAGTGCTGGTATTGTGGACAATACTGTAGTAAGGTGACCAGCAAGCATACTCAGCTGTTCCATTGAGATACCAATAGGGAGTCCACTTGATGACGATGCTTGTCGGTCACGCATAGCCCTCAGTACTGCGACCTGCCCCTGCGCAGCCATCGCTCCAATACCCCTATACGACTGTAGGTCTCCATCGGGCGGCGAACCAGCAGTAGAGCCACTATATGCGGACCTGGTGATCTCCCCAGCAGAAAGAGCAATACTATCTGAAAAAGTCTTGAGCAGGCCCGTGAGGACATCCATCTGCTCGGTCCCTTTAACATGATACAATACAGACATACTAGCCTCAAGTGTCCGCCTCCTCGCTACCAGTGGTGACACCAATTTGCCTTGATTAGATCTATCCACGAATTCCCTCAAGAGTGGTACCGTGTGATTCCAAAAAGCCGATTTTTCAACTCCACTAAGAGTCTCCGCCTCATACATCTGCGTAATTGCAATCAAACGTTCCCCTATAGTTTTCTCCAATTCTTCCACTTTACTTTTTTCACTCGCCAAGCCACCAGTCAACAAAGCCGTCTCACTACGAGCCCGTGCACTATTGAGCTCTACCATCAGCGACCTCAGCTTACTAGTCTCCTGAACAAGCCTCTCATTCTTACTATGTTGATCTCCACCTGTCGGCGATGATGATGATGACTTCATATTCAGCAAATGGCCTTGGGGATTGAATTTTGTGACCCAAGGCCTTCACTACCAAACACGAGTAATACCACATCTCTCACACCACCACACTGCTACATCCAGAAACACTCAGGATCAACATGTCACGATCATTTATACGTCGTTTGGCGTCGGAAATATCGACTTCTATAGATGGTCTTATTGTTATGCTTCACAGACATATACACCTGTCCCTTCTTAGCTCGGGCCCAGTAGAACACTTGCATCGGCACAGTCTTCACTCGCCAATCTGCTTTCATCAAGTCGCGCCTCGTCTCCTAACAGCACAGTTCATCTCTCAACCACTAAGTTCGCTACTGCACCCTACGTTTCGTCCCAGCCTAGTGTAATACAATTCAGCTGGCTGAGCCACAAGACCTCCAACCTCTTCAACGGTATTCCCCTTCATCTTTGCTGTCACACCAGTCAGGACTCCCAGGTCAGTAGAAAACTCAGAAGCCGAGGACCGGGGACGCTCAAAGTAACCACAAGTGCCTGTTCGAGCTCTTGCCTCCAATTCGAAATTTCAGGCACTGCCAGCAGCGAAACGGAGAATACCCCTGTTCACTACATATGCTGTCATCCTTGACACAGAGTTCATTGCTGTGTGGATCCACTGCTAACTCGACGGCGGTGTTTTCGATACTTCTCAGAACTTTTAGGTCTGCTGATGCCGTAAACAGCGATCCTGAGAAACACCATACACTGGCGTTTTACCATAGGCCACATCGGCTGAAACAGATATATCCCGATAGCTTGCATACGATGCTGTAATCCGTTCATACTTCCTATACGTAGATATAAATCATATGTACATACAGGAAGTGCGATATAATATGACATAATCCCACAAAGCGATGAATCAAACGAGATTTAGAGTACTCCCAATTCTACTAGTACCAGTTTCACCAAGTCGGGCTCTCCACATTATGTCAGGTCCTGTCCCTCCGGTGGCTTCACGCCATCGAGCCTCAACATCATCAACTTCATTTTTCACTCTACTGCTATGACGCCAAGGTAAGTCGCAGACAATTGCCCTTAACCTCAGTAGTATTTCCTCACGATACACAGGATCTATCCGTACCATAACTTCCCCAATTTCTCTCAAACTACCGCAGTCCCCGATGATAATCGTTGCTCGGGATTCTCGCGCAGCTACTACTACATCCTCAGCACTGTCCATGTTAAAGTCCACTGTCTTGGCTCCCACTATTCGAGCAGCCTGCAAATCCTCAAAGTCAGCGCCCGCATCTGCACTACCGCAAACAAGTACGGAATCCTGTTCGTTGAGAGCCAACAAGTTGGCTGTATTCCTAGCTCGGTTGGCCAACTGATCGGCACTCAGTGGACACTGTCTACCCACATGATAGTAGCTTATCGAGGGAACGTGCACTGGACCGGCGTCAGGCAAATGGCCATCAGACTCGACTGCTGGTACAGACCCAAGCAATCTATCCATCGGCAGTAGGGCCACACCGAGACCCCTGCACAATTCTACCGCCTCCTCACTTCCCGTCTCCACGAGAATGGACCGCGTCCTACTATCGACGACCATTTGCCTGAAGCGGCTCATCGTAGTCTATAGTACAACACGCAGCCAGCCTACCTCGCAGCTTCCTTATCACTATATGGCAGCGGTACTACTGTACAATCCCGGCCCCAAAGGGCTCGCCTCGCAGCGATAGACGATTCACATGCACCTGAGTGAACACTAAGGGTAGAGGAGGCAGAAGGGTATGTACCAGCGGGAAGCCAAAGTCCAACCCGAGTCTTCTTAATACTACGCAATGCTGCGTGGAGAGTGCCCGCCGTAGAACTAAACCGTTGAAAGGTACGTCGAAGCATTGATCAAGTTCTTCCAAACAGAATGAACGAAAAAAGACGGGAGAAATGCCGTCACTGGGGATCGAACCCGAGATGTTCAGTTCTCACCCAAAAAATCAACAGTCACAAATCTTCGACAAACGACGACAAACCAGGTACTTCGTGGACGGAAAAAAGGCTACTGATGGCACCTTAGCCGCTGAGCATGCTCAGCGATATCTATCAGAGTACCAGAGATGATAAAGTCCGTGTACATACTCGTCTTGACCGATCGAAGATCAAGTTCATCACAGTAAGTCCCCACCAAGAGGATATACAAAGTTTTATTCAGCAAAACTAGCCGGTTCGCATCTGCATGTTCAGCCAGAGCAAGGTGCGATGAGCTCTATAGGGAGGTCTCGACCTCACGCAGCTCCTCGAAAGCTTAGCCAAGCTCAATTATCAGTTTCGTTCGGGTCTGAGACCTATTCTGGAATACAGCGTCCGATCCCCAGTCTCGCTGGATGAAGCGTAAATACAGCATATACCTTCACTCGGCTGAAACAACTGCCTTGACGGTGTAGAGGTTCTTGTGACAGCAACGCAAGCACACCAGCTAGGCTGTACACCTTAGGATACTGTACGCGTTCATGAGAGTAGCAATGATCTCCGTTTGCATGGAGAGGGACGAACGTCGCAGACTCAATCAGTAGTTGAATCCACATTCGTTTCGGCAAGAAGATCCTCAAGAGCCCAAACGGTTAAAGTCTCATCCCCGAGCTCCGTCAATAGTCGCTTCCCCACTTCCTCGAGGTTGATGGTCACATCAGACGTTGGCTCGCTGCTGCCGGCCTCTGACGAAGTTTCCTGACCCACACAGTATTCTGAATCAGCCACTCTCCAAGGCGCTACAGAGTGAGAACTGCTCGAACTTGCCTCGTCACTTGGACTGTCGTCAGACTCGCTGGATGAGAGAGTCAGGAAGACCCCTCGATCACTCTGAAGAATACTCAACAACCATCGCCATATAACAACCTACTTCGTTCCCATCCACTCGTGCGGCCCGTGCCGAATACTTGGGACTATGCCTATCACGAAGGCACCGGATAAGACCACCGATTTGTTCCAACGCCCTACACTGCTGGTTCACACGCCTCCCTACGACGTTGAGAGGCTGCTGCCAGCGCGCTCTTCGCGAGATCTGTTATCTCGCTTAATGGTGTGGGCTCTGCGCTTGAGGAATGATGTTCATGCAATCTACGTCGAATTCCAGGACCACATTCCCGCCGGAGGCTCGATCCGTGAAGACCTGGCCGCACATATGAGCGCTGACTCCTCAAAAGGAAGTAGTCCTACGTCGCTTTGAGTCGCGGAGCTTGGTTGCTTGCAGCTTCCTCGTCACCATGAGCATCCTCTCTTGCAATTCCTTCTGTGCCTGGAATATCTAGTAATCGTCCTTACATGACAGTCAACTGTCCTCACCTCAACATATGGGTCGGATTCTTCATAACCGACAGCTACAAGAAAACCCCTTCTTTTCCATATCCACTCTGACAGCCACACTCAAGCTTACTCAGTCTGCTCGCTTTGCGCAATAGGTTATTCCGAATTGGTGCTTCCGACGGCGATACTGATTTGGCTATGGTGCTTCGACTCGTTGAGATCCTCCGAGAAAGAGCCTTGGAGCTACGTATTGAGTTATCGTACCTCAGAACAGGATTGTAATCGTAATCATAAATTCAATCACTTCTTCGAGCAAGTGGCTCGCTATTCGGGTTTGTATCGGAGGCGACGAGAATGCAAGGGGAAAACCCAAGAACCAAACCTCTCTGGCAAGTGACGACTATCACTGTGATTCCATATCATGAAGTCACAGTTATAGTCGTCGTTCACGTCATTATAGGATCCATAACGGATCAAAATGAAGGCGATTGACTCCTCACTGAGTGTCCCGCAAGGTCCCCAGGCTGTCTGACGAGCCGCTCATTCCTAAGGGTATATGAGACCTCATGGAACAACATTCACTCACCTTCTGATATCTGATCTACCTCTTGGTTGGACTCTTGCTCGGCCTTCAGCTCTTCGAAACGATTCAGCTATGAAGAGGGTTGCTGATTGACGCGTCAACACGCCCTGCAATCACCTGGCGAGCCACATACGCCTCCTCCGCTTGAACTCGTTCTGCAGCAGTCGCAAATAAGCTTCTAAAACCATCTGAAGAGATATACGTGACTCGGGGTCTGCCATTTTAGGTCTACCAAAATTGAGCATTTCACCGCTGCCATTAGTGCTCGCTCTCGTAAGGGGTTTCGACTCTCCCTGACCCCAGCAGAAATACCAAAGTCTGGTAGCCAGACCACTCAGCTTGTAAGCGCGCTACCTTCAGCGATATTCGCTCCGCTCCGTCCGTTAGAGCTTCCTATGAATCGCATCATGGGGAAATGACAGTACTCGATACCCGATCACCTTGGTGACCTCTAACGGCTCCTCTCCGAGACTTCGTATCATTTCCTCCGCCTAAATGAACCACACTGTTAGTAGCATTCTGCACTATTGGTGCCTCACGAATTCTGTCAACTGTGTTGTGAGTAGTTGCTCCCCTTGAAACTCTGAGTGAAACATTCCTCATCACCATAAGGATGCGCACATACCATCCGGTGCGAAGATGGTCGACTTTTCAGGAAATGCCAAACGACCAGTCTGAATCTGAGCCGACATGATGTCAGTCTCGATTCCCAACAAGTCACGAGTCACCAGCATTCGTTTGCACATCTTAACGACTTCCTTCAACTTCTTAGCTTGTCTAGAAGGTTCAGTCTTAATACGAATCCCATCCTTGATGTTGTTCACTGTCTGTCTCTGCTCGCCACGAGCGCTCGGCACTAGAGAACTGCTATCTAAATCAGAGATATCCCCACCGTCTGACTCTGTTCCCCAACCAATGTGTTTCCCGCTCGAAACCAGCGACCCTGAAGTGAAAGTTAAATCCTCCTTCCTTTTCCGTCGTCTCAGTTCCCTTTCTCTTTGTTTCTCGAGCTGCTTGACAATCTATTATGCGGAAATGACTTGACGAATGGCCGGTGAGATATCATGAATAGAATGCAGCCGACATTGTCCATCTGACGTTTATGGTCCTGCGCAGCCCTCTCTTTCCGGTCTAGTGCAGCCACGACGCTGTCTGTCAGCCATGGGCGGTCTGGGGTTCTCTCTCTTGTTAATGGTCGAGCTAGAAGGCGAGTTGGTGATCACTGTGGGGATCACAGTGTGATCCGTGACTTGTATTCATTACACGGTGAAGTGGATGCTGTAGGAGAAATTGGTCTATTGACGAGGCGTGTCAACGTAGGCCAGTGGTTCAGTTTGAGCTCTCGGATATCCTCTCTTGTCAGTCGCATCTTCGTATCTTCAACTACCTACGCATACCTCGATCTGTATGGATGTTCAAGAGGCAGTGTTACAGATTTATGCCGCATCTTCAGCTCTTCGAGGGTCTGGACTTGTTGCTCTTCGTCATCAGTTTCACTGTGGTTCATCGATTCATCACTGCTGGTTTCATCATCTATTGGGTAACGCATAGGTAGACGACAAGACGAACCAAACGCCTTGAAACAGACTGAGCCTCGCACCGTCGGACGTCCCTGAGTGCCTTGCTCAACCGTTGCTCTCATGCTAGAGCCCCTACGAGCTCGATGTTAATCATGCGATCGTGTTTCAAATCAATCTGGAGTTTAGCCGAAGAAATTAGTTTCGCCTGAACTACAGGCGAGTTGTTTCAACCTGATCTTCCACCGCACAATGCCCTGCAATGATGGGAATGTATCCTCCAAAAACTGTGACTGTATGTCTGCGTCAGTGAACATAGCTGAGCGATATCTTGGCACGGAGTGGACAAAATATCATCAGGATTCGGCGGAAGCAGCTGTCTCAAGTGTCTAAGTCAGATTGTCTACACCTTTTCAATCTCAAATTCAGCAAGTGAAAGAACGAATTAGATGAATGAAATTAGACTATCGACGAGTGAAAGGTGATTTTTGCGAAATGAAAGTTCAAATTCGAAATGAAAGTTCGATTTTCGTGGACCGGTTGAAAATGAAAGTTCAAATTCGTAAATGAAATTTATGATTTCGGAAACGCAAGTTCAAATTCGTCGAACACGACCAATTTCGACCAATGAAAGCTCACTTTCATTCGATGGAAGGAAATTCTCGTTAGCGTCGTGCCACGGATTGTGACTTGCGACTCGCAAATTTGGAATGCTGATGGTGCTCTACGACCTGCACTGTAATGCTAAAACATCAGGATTAGCTAAATGCTAATTCTGAAACAGTACAGTGCAATTCAAAAATTTGCAATGAAGGATTTTCAGAGATTCGAACCGGAAGATTGTTCGAGTTTGATTCTCTAATGGAGGATCTCCATTGCCCTTCCGATGACATCGGAAGGATAATCGGGTCGGCACATGTTCGGTTGGGTTTCCGAACGGCCCAACCGGACTATCCGAATCGAACTGTGATCGACCGAATACCGAACCGGACCAAACCTCTATGAGAAGTTCGGGTTTCGACGGGTTACATCGATCCCGGACCGACGGTCCGACGGACCGATGTGACCCAACGTTCCGGAGAACCACCCGTGAATCTCACTCAGTGCAATAACTGTTCATATTTGAGAAGTACCTCGAGCAGTCTTCGCACATTGTGCGAGTTGCCAACTCGTGGAGTGTGAATAGCGCATATCGAGACGTGGCGAAAGTGAGGTTTCATTGGTCGAAATTGGTCTTGTGTGTGTGTGTGTGTGTCAGTTTAAAGTCCAACGCCGTCACCGGCTTGGTTAGACTTTATGCCGATACGCTAGCCATTTCATGAGCTCATTGTTGCGTTCTTCAGTTAGCCCGAAACGCTGCCGGAACGAACAGCAGGAGCAGACCAGACCATCTCATTCCCTCCTAGCAGGATCCACTCTTCACCGCGGGGCTGTGTCCAACGACCGAAACACTAGCACTGCCGCGGCGGACCACGAGTTTCATCTCTAGGACTCGAGAAATCAATGACCTGGCTGGCCCTCACTGCTCACACGTGCAGTCCTTCCTCGGCTTCAGATTCAGTAGTTGAGCTGTCGTTCGCCATGGTCTTAGCCATGTATGCCATCGTTAGTTTTCTACAGAAGTTCGCGACGGCTGCGCATCGGCTCACACTTATTGTTATCTGCCCTAAAGTACCACCAGCGTCCATGAAAGAAGGACGTCGATGAGACCGATCTGGTCGAAGGCATTTTAGTAGGATATGCATGTTATCATCCCTCTCGGCACAATTAGTGCATTCTCTGTCTATGTTTGTCCAGTTTTCCCTTCCAGACATGTAGGTGTACCCTTTCAAAATCTCAGAGTGTCCTGATAGCACTTGAAGAAAAAATCCACAGTTATCTGCGAGTACAACATCCTGCACAATCTTCCGCTGGCGTTCGCTAGCGAAGGCTGGCCGAAGCGTTGCCGAAAGACGTCCTAAATTGGTCTTGTGTTTGACGAATTTGAACTTGCGTTTCCGAATTCATAAATTTCATTTACGAATTTGAACTTTCATTTTCAACCGGTCTACGAAAGTCGAACTTTCATTTCGAATTTGAACATGCATTTCGTGAAAAACACCTTTCACTCGTCGAAAATCAAATTTCATTCAGCTAATTTGTTCTTTCAATTGTTGAATTTGAGATTGAGAAGGTGTAGTTTCTGTCTACATCTTATGAATCTCCAACTTATTGAGGAGAACTGCAATGTCGTCGGGTGAGCGAGCACGTGTGGCTGAAACACATCAACATTAACTTCTTCTTTGACACTGTGGTGTTGTACAAACATCGAATGAGCACGTCTGGTTATCCGATGCGGTTTTTCGACTCGATCACAATTGCGAATTTTTGCCGATTGTTTTTGAGTATGCCGATGATATGTGATGCTCCGCAGTGCAAGCGCGCTTGGCAATCAAGCGGTTCGAGTTGGATGCAGCTGAGCAAAGATGTAGAATGAGCAGTAGGCCACTGCTCCTTCATTTCCGCTCAACAATCATCCGGCTAACGACGTTCTTCGTCAGAGGGTGTCCGCAGAGAGTGTTAGACAGCTGATTGAGACACAGTGTTAAACACTGCGAACTGCTCGAACACTCAGTGCTTGCAGACGGTTGATTTCTACAATGCCTCCTCGAGTTACTCATATCAACCCATGGCTTCAACCTACTATACAATGCTGAAGAGCCCTCGTGGTTATGCAACTCTTTCGTGAATCTATCAGCATCACCATCTGATACAGCTACTCTGCCTTCTACTTTAGGTAATTGGCTCATTCAATTTCTTTGATCAAATGGTTCATCATGTTCTAAAGGATTGTTGACACCACGATCGCCGAACGTCGCCACCTCGGTAAGGCTCTTGGCATCTTATGGCAACCTAGAGCATGATGTTCCATTCATTCTATAGGGAGGAAGTCGTCGTATTTCATCTGCATAATCTCTTCCGGGAGGTATCAAGATGGAGACATTATTGTGCTCTAGGTGGAGGCCCCTCACGCATGAGTATGCACGTGTTGGGTGCCAGATATCCGACCCGATCCTCCTTCTCTCGAAACATCCTCCGAGAAGAGAGCTGTCCCTGTTATTTTTGTTGATGGAGATGAAGATGATGGCTTGAATAGAATGTGTGAGCACAACACAGAAGGACCAAGCTTTGCGTAGCGACCGAGTGAAAGTTGTCAAAAAGTGTGAAGCCTGCCAAAAGGGAATGACGGCCTTTCAAAGACCATTGCAGACGGTAGACAACAATATGTAGGAAATACTGTAGTCTGGCAGGAAGGCCTCTCACCCTACGATTGATCGCTGCAGCGATACTGCCCTTGGAAGAGAAGAAGACGAGTTGCACGTGGTTCTCAATACACGAGTTTTGAGTTCGTGATGTAATGCATTTGCGATGATATTGTGGCAACATATCGTGGAGGTCAGAAACGTCCCCCCCCCCAAAGTTGACACCGTTATTTAGGCGAACACGGCAAGTTATGACACGTAAAAAACTCGTCGCCATTTAGGCTTGACAGCCATCGAATCATCCTCACACGGATAGACAAGCACAACGACGAACACTCTAGACAGAATGAGCTGACTCTCCGTGCATTACGGCTATTCCAACCTGAGGGGAAGGGAGAACAATAGACCACATGCGTGACGATCGACAAAAGCCGCGACTATGTATAATGCCACAAGAGTAACTTAGAAACTGGACTTACTTTAGATGAGGCTTGGCCAGAAGCATACCTCTCATACCTAATGAACCATCAAGCTCTTATTCGACTCCAGGCCGGTTAAGTAGAGCACATGAAATGGTGAGTCACATGATACACTCTTAACGAACGTTCGGATCAGCGGCGAATCAATCAAGGGGTCCTGGAACTGGAAGAGTCAGGAAAGATACTCACGCCTCGATGTAGTAACGATTATCCATGATGGTGGCCTTAACTGCATCGACTGCCGACATTCGGTCATACCACTCGAATAGTTCAGCGAGCTGCGGCAGGGACGATCGATCAAAAGCAAATGCTGGACCTGTCGATGTTCAAGGTGCCGGAGATAATAGGTCGATCGACAAGTCATTCGATAGAATATCGACTAGTGCGTAAGACACAAGATATTGAGTGGGACTCGTCTCACCTTTATAATAGCCCAGGAGGAACGATCTTAGTATCCAAGGATAAGCAGCGATATCGACAATACTCATCGCTGAGCCGTTGAAGAAAGGCCCTCTCATCTGAAGTTATAGCAACCCTTAGGAGGCAGTTCACCCGTAGCGGAACGAGGTGCACCTCCGAGATGAACTTCTCGGCGCCGGCAACCATCTTGTCGAACTCGGCTTTATCACCCCGCATTAGGACCGCGTAGAATGGTGAGGTGATGTTCTTGTTATAGAAGGTAGCCCTCTCGAGGAGACGTTGCCTGTCCAAAAAAGAGGCGATGATTCGAAGGTCGGTCGAAAGAGAAGAGCACCTCTCCGTGGGGTCATCCCGAGGTAGCAAAGGTTCTCCGGGGAAGCCGAACTTGGCAGCCAAGTTGTCTATATACTCCACCACAACGAGAGACTCGGTGACCTTGACCCAGGAACACGCTCTCAGTTCTCCTCCTACGCCGAACCGTCGCCTACGACTTCTTCGCGTCCATCAGGCCAGTTGACGAGCAGCGTTGGGATAAGGCCTTTTGGATTCTTCTCGAGCAGTAGAGGATGCTTCTTATATTCCGCAGCACCTTCAGGCAAACTCAGGGCTTCAATCAACTCGAATGGGATCTATGGACTAACGATCATAGTGAGCATCATACAGCTGAGGCCATGGCGACAACCCACTACGTGACACATCTCCGCAGAAGAAAAGTCTCCTAGTCGGAGGTCCCCTACCTTAAACCACTCTAGAGCTATACGTGCTCGCTGTGCGAAGGGACAGAAGTCGGAAGTAAAAAAGCGGAGATGAGGTAATCCATTTACACCAGTGGTGGTCATGATACGAGAAGTGAGAACTGAAATCCTCAACCGCATGATTCGGCGCAACACCACGAAGTGGGAGAGAATTCGGATGTAAGTTTGGGCATGTCCGATTCATTAGTTTCGAGTGCACATGAGAATCACAACACAAGTAATAACCTGTTGGTGTGAGATGATACCAATTCTCCACTACTCAGTCTTTGGTGTATGACGATCATCAATAACAATCACCTAAAGGTCCCGGTGCTGCTCGATAGCCTCTGGGAGCGGTGAACATCATTAGTGTGTACTTGGAATCAACACTCAGAGTAACATGATGCTGAGACATAACGCGACGTTGGAGGCAAATAAAAGGCATCACCAGCCGTAGTATAGGCTGTATTACAGCAGTAGACCCTTCCTAACTGAGCCACTTAGTGTACACCCCACTTCCTCTGACATCCCCCTAAGTCAATCAGCGTGAAGAACTCAGATTGGTTTCCCTTGAACCATTGATGATATTTCCACCATTCCGGATGCACTCATACACTTGTACACAAACGTTGTCGGCTTTCGACTCCTCTGTTAGGCTCATGCTTCGCAACGACTACTACCACTCGACATGCTTTGGTTAATCTTAACTATATATCATGCTACACGATTCGTGTAGGTCAACAAAGTTCTCCATAAACACCACTGAGAATCAACCAAACACGGCCGCTAATGAGATGAAAAAACTCGTTACCATTTAGGTTGAAAGAATAGACAAGTACAACAAAGTACTCCCTAAATAGAATGAACTGGCTCTCCATGTATTGAACCCATTCCAAACCAAGGGGGAGACAAGCAACCACACCCCTGGCGAATCGCGACAGCATCCACTGAGGATGGGGGAGGGTTGCGACGTCTCTCACTTGCTTTCGAGAAGGTCTACTCAGAGACATACTTCTTATACCTGGGAAATAAGTAGACCCCCATTGTGCTGAGAATAGGTTGTGTGAGAGCTATCGAACCGGACTGCGAGGGGAGTTCCCGACGACAAAGAAGTCCGATGAGAAACAATAGGAAGAATTGAGTTCGAACTACCATTTACCAAAGTCCTGGATGGTCGTTGGTATTATACCCTTTCGTGGATATCCGTGAGAAGAGCGATCCGAAATTGAGGTTCCAGAAAATTCAGATGAAGATCCCAGAAATCCGCGAGCGACTTGAGAAGATCCTTACGCCTTGATATAATAGTGATCGGCCATGATGGTGGCCTTGACGACATCGACTGCCGACATTCGGTCATACCACTCGAATAGCTTGGCGAGCTGCGGCAGCGACGATCGATCGAAAGTGAATGCTGGACCTATCGAGATACGATATGCAGGGAATAGCGAGTCGCCCGACGAGTCATTCGATAGAACTAACAAGTGCATAAGACATAAGGTATTGATTGAGATTGATATCACCTCTATAATAGCCCAGGAGGAACGATCTCAGTATCCAAGGATAAGCAGCGATATCGACAATACTAATCGCTGAGCCGTTGAAGAAAGGCCCTCTCATCTGAAGTTATAGCAACCCTTAGGAGGCAGTTCACCCGTAGCGGAACGAGGTGCACCTCCGAGATGAACTTCTCGGCGCCAGCAACCATCTTGTCGAACTCGGCTTTATCACCCCGCATTAGGACCGCGTAAAATGGTGAGGTGATGTTCTTGTTATAGAAGGTAGCCCTCTCGAGGAGACGTTGCCTGTCCAAAAAAGAGGCGATGATTCGAAGGTCGGTCGAAAGAGAAGAGCACCTCTCCGTGGGGTCATCCCGAGGTAGCAAAGGTTCTCCGGGGAAGCCGAACTTGGCAGCCAAATTGTCTATATACTCCACCACAACGAGAGACTCGGTGACCTTGACCCAGGAACACGCTCTCAGTTCTCCTCCTACGCCGAACCGTCGCCTACGACTTCTTCGCGTCCATCAGGCCAGTTGACGAGCAGCGTTGGGATAAGGCCTTTGGGATTCTTCTCAAGCAGTAGAGGATGCTTGTCGTACTCCGAACCACCCTCGGAGAAAGTAATGGCTTCAATCAACTCGAATGGAATCTACGGAATAACAATCAGAACGCCCATCCACACACCCACAACAACAACTGACTGTACCTAGAAGAATAGTTTGTTGGTCTGAGGTCACCTACCTTGAACCACTCTAGAGCTATACGAGCTCGCTGCGCGAAAGGGCAGTAGTCAGAAGTAAAAAAACGAAGCCGAGGGAAACCTTGCTTTTCGGTCATGGCCATCGTATTAGAAGACGGAACTACACCTTTTAAAGGCCTATTTCGCGTTTAGTACGATCACTTTCGCAGGGCGAGCGATCATTCAAGCCAATATATGCCTTAGTATCGCCAGCGCACTCGATAGAAAAACCAATTTCGACGACACGTGTCATTAGTACAATCAATTTCGCTGGCATGTCTGAAGTAAGTTCTATTTCAACAAAGTGCGGGAATCAATTTCGCTGATAGGACATTCAATTTCGTCTAGTGGGTCGTTATACCTATCATCATGCCAAACCCAGATAACAACTCTGACGAACGCACCGTCGATAGTGGGACGTCATTGAGTTCTGCCACATGTCTCGATCGTCTTCATTACTAAACGCGAAATAGGCCTTCAAAAGGTGTATGAATCTCAGTCACACAGCCTGTGTGACACAGGTGGACACCGACCAGATTGAGTTGAAGCCGGCTAGCACTGGATGATGGAGAAATTGATCCCGAGTGATGACCATTTAGTCATATCTATGGGTATTGGATTCAATATTTCGAGAAGTACACGCAAGCACAAGGCTCCTCTTGACCGCCATGTGCTCGCGTGCAACACAAGGTCGTGCTGGAGCTTTGGCCCACGTGTAGTCACTATTGTCGTCGCGAGGTGGGCAATCAGTGGCACTAAGATTTCAATTCTCAAAAATACCGGTACCAGGGATTGAACTTTGGTGGACAGGTACGCGGAACGTAACGAACGAAGAGTTAGATGGATGGGGTGAGGTGCCATGAGGTACCACATCTCACGTGAAGATCTTAAGGATGGGTTCCTTCATGTAATCAGACCCACCTTGTATGTATCAAGGTGGCGAGCCTCGGAGTATGGCCCACATCACCTTACCCTTACCCACCGACGGACTTGTAAGGCACATACGATTTTGCCCGTTGGGAGCCTTTGTGAAGTTCTCGCAGGAGGCTAGGACACGACCTACTCGACTAACGTTGGTATTAGGCAATGCTAGAAAAGCCGCGCCTCTCACTTAACTCACGCGTACACTGTGCATGCGTGCAGGTCACTCATGCCCGGAATCATGTCCATAGCCCCGCAGTGGGTGAGCTTGACGAGCAAAACAGATGGTGTAGAGCGTTGTGGGTGGAGGCTCAGGTTAATGCAGTTGTCCGATTGACCCTCAGCAAGTATGGACCAATTAATTCTCCACGTGATGATAACGGGTATCCTATTGATCGCTATTATCGCTATATTCATCATCCTAGTGAGTGCTT